TGACCTCCTCGGCGAGTTCACTGAGTGCTTTGCCACATCTTCAAGGGTGCGACAAACGACGGAAGCGAAGCACCACATTGTTACCGACGACGACGGGCTCCCTGTGCACCAATCGCCGTACCGAGTCTCCGTAAAAGAAAGGGAGGTAATCTAAGAACAAGTACAAGAAATGCTCAATGACGACATCATCCCGCCTTCAAGCAGTCTCTGGGCGTCGCAGTGGCCCTGGTAAAGAAGAAGGATGGGACACTGAGTTTCTGAGAAGACTATCGTCAACTAAATGCCGTGACAAAAAAGGACGCCTACCCACTGCCTCGAGTGGACAATACCCTGGGCCGGCTGCGCCACCCAATATTTTTCGTCGATAGTCCTGAATAGTGGCTATTGGTAGATTCATGTCGTCAAGCGAGAGCGTGAGAAAACGACTTTCGTCACGTCCGACGGATTATGCGAGTTTAAAGTGATGAATTTCGGACTTTGTAGGCACCCCCAACTTTTCAGCGTATCGTGGACGCCATGCTAGCAGGTTTGATATAGCAGAGCTGCCTCGCCTACCTACACGAAGTCGTTGTCTTTTCACGAAATTTTGAAGAGCACCTGAGAGACCTTCCAGCAGTACTACAAGTGTTCAAGACCGCTGGACTCCCCTTCAAACCGAAGAAATGCCGCTTCGCCTATGACGGACTAAAGTTCTTAGGCCACTTCCTGAACAACGAAGGTGTTCGCCCTGACTCCAAGAAGAGGCGCGCTGTAGCCGCCTTTTCACCACCGTCGGACAAGAGGGCCATTAGAAGATGTCTGGGTATCTTTGCCTACTATAGGCGCTTCCTTCAAGATTTTGCCAAGCTTTCTGCGCCTCTAGCGCATCTCACAAAGGGCGCTGTGAAGTTCCAAGGGAGAAAAGAACAACAGCGGGCATTTGACGAGGTCAAGCGAAGACTTCAGACACCCCTGACCCTCGGCTATTTCGAACAGTTAGCAGAAATGGAAATCCACACAGACGCAAGTAATACTATTGGTGAGGTACTGGTCCAACGGCACGAGGGTACGGAGCGAGTGATTGCTTACGCAAGTCGGGCGCTGCCTAAGGTAGAATGCAGCTTCTCCAAGACAGAAAAATAAAGCCATGCTGTCGTCTCTGTGATTACAAAGTTTCGGCCGTACTTGTATGGCAGTCCATTCCGCGTGGTCACATATCACCAGTCGCTGTGTTAGATCGGGAACCTAAAGGATCCCTCTGGACGCCTCGCCCGCTCTAGTCTCCGAATGCAGAATTTCGACATGACCATTGCGTAAAAATTAGGTCGCAAACACAGTAACGCCGACTGTCTGCCGAGAGCCCCCGTTGAGGCACCACCTGCCAAAACGACGACGAGGAAGACGAAGGTTTCCTTGGCGCAGTGAAGGTGGGCGACATGGCAGCGCTTTAACATGACGACTGCGAATTTCGTGCCTTGAAGAATTGGTAGAATTTTGTGCCGCGGGAAGAATTGGTTTCGGACCGATTGCACCGGCGGTCGAATATTCCGTTGCCGGCGAGGGGATTCGCCCTCCCGGCGTCAATTTCCCTGCGGATTTGTCTGCGAATCCGCATGTGTGAACGAGCCATTAGTCGCGCGCTAGAAAGCGTCACAAGAGCGCTTTTTCGAGCGCTCACGGCGCGATGACTTAGCTCTCAACTGTACGTGTGAACATGCCCTTACTCTGCTTCATTTAAGAGGTGCAACCAAGTCATTTCGTGGACTAGTCCCCATAGTAAGGGATCGTGAATGCTGTGAACTACGCATCCTAGTAAATTTGAGCGATCTGCTAGATAATTAGCTGCCATGATGACTGCGTGCAAACGAAGTGATTTGGTTAGACGGCACTAAACGTGAACGATCGTTCAAGTTCAATATGACGGAAATACACCACTACCTTCAGGGTCGTTCAGATACCTTTACAGCGAAGCTGTATGTAGGTTTGGTTTTTTCGTGTCCGTCGACAAGGAACCATGGTGCGCCTTATCTTTTAACATGTGGTTTTGACACTTGTTTCAATAAGAAAATCACAAAACAAGTGTCAAAACCACGTAATAGATGATAAGCACGCAGCGCTCCCCGCATGCGTTTCACGGTAAAATTGCGGTTGCATAAGCTGCAGCGGCCACGGCAGCGTACGAAGTCTTTTATATATAAAAACGTTTTGGTACAGAACATTTACTTTTATTTCGTCAATAATTTGTTATCGACCGTTTTGCTGTTTACAACCATCAAGTGTCGCTTGCGCCCCAAGCGACTACCGGTCGCACATTCTTTGCAAGCCTCATGTGCTTGCTTATGTCACGAGTGCTATAGACCTTTTCCACAAGGGCGGCGCCATCTTGAATTGTCGTCACTTCCAGTATGGGCGACGAAAAAAAAGTACAACGTTTCAACCTGTAACTAGTAAAAAAATAGAGGCGAACCAAAACGAGAATGTGTGACGGTTAGGCTTATATCCTAAATGTCTTCTATTGGCGTGGCAACGGCAAAGTAATGTTTTCGCCCATACTGGAAGTGACGTCAATTCAAGATGGCGGCGCGCTTGTGGAAAAGGTCTATAGAAGGCATAAATGCTACAAGGATAACAAAGTTGGAAATTTAACGATGGCATTCGTCTGTACAATTTTGCAGGAGGCAAGTTTGTTTGCAGGAATACTCCAAACATTTTAACATATATCTTACTCCTTCATTTTTTGGCATTCACCTGGAGAATTGGTGTTGAAACGTTTCATCTACATTTCAAGCAGCGGGTTAAGGTAGCCTTTGTTCATATTTTTTTATAAACCGGAAGTTTTCTGGAACGTCCAGGACTGGAGCATCACCTCGGGACGTTTGCCATAAAAAGGGTCTATAATGCAGTAACCTATCGTTGCAGGTAATTGCACAGCTTCACAGTGTGGATTGGAGCCTTAATTTGTTTACTCCCTTTAACTTTGCGGGACCCGAAAATGCGACCGGTAAATGTTATGCCGGCCGCCTTGTTTACATCAGTAGTAAGCCGGAAGCGCGATTAGCCACGGATTGGCACGCTATTGACCGTTTCACATGTTTACTAGAAGATAGCTCTGCCGGTAGAACGCAATCATCATCATCGTTTACGCAGTTTTACGACTCGCTAAATTATTTCAAATTTCACGTACGGTTTCACGGAAGGGATCAGCTGCACAGATCCTTATTTCGGAACCGTGTGCTCTGAAAACTACTCGCTACAACTCCCTAATTAACTTTTAACAGACAAGAAGGGGGAAATACCCTACTGAAAAAAATTATATGAATTTTTTTTCTGATATGTTTATTGAACACCTTTTTCATATCAGAACTTATTATTTCATATCAGTTTCATATGCCGCATGTCAGTTACATTAGGCTATAGGTTGCGCTAGGTACCGCCCAATTCATGTGCTACAAAAATATATTTATTTACTCACGCCATCATGTAGATACATTACGCATACCGCTAACATCAGATGAACGAATACATTGAGCGCATATACACACACACGGCACAACAAACATGAATACAACAACACACCCAATAACTACCTCGGAGCTCTGCGTTTCCGCCTTTTATACAGGTCGTTTTGTAAGTACGGAGTTTTTCGGTGACCAACTGCGGAATAAATAATATTTAATAATATTTTCAGCGTGTTGGATTTTTTTCAGTAATGTCATATCTCTGAGAGTATTTACAACGGCTCAGGGGACGAATCTGTTAATAAAAAGTAAACGCGCATGCCGTAATTATTTGAAAGCCAGTAAATCAAGCCGCTCCACTGCGGTTCCAAGCCACGTGTTTGCTTTCCCGCGCAGGACGTCGTATACTGAAAAAAAAAAATTATAGGAATTTATTTCTGATATGTTTATTGGACACATTCATATCAGTTGGCATATGTTGCATATCAGTTCTTATATGTCGCATATCAGTTTTTGGGTATTTCATGTCAGTTCTAATATCCCATATCAGTTTTTGGATATTTCATATCAGTTTCATATGTCGCATATCAGTTTTTGATATTTCATATCAGTTCTTATATGTCGCATATCAGTTTTTGGGTATTTCACATCAGTTCGAATATCGCATATCAGTTTTTGGATATTTCATATCAGTTTCATATGTCGCATATCAGTTTTTGGATATTTCATATCAGTTTTATATGTCGCATAGTAGTTTTTAGATATTTCATATCAGTTTTATATGTCGCATATCAGTTTTTTGATATTTCATATCAGTTCTTATATAGATTCATATACTATTTTTCAGTAGGGTAATATGCATTATGCGACGGTCGGCAAAGATTCGCTTTAAATTATGTTTGATATGTTCGCACATTGTCTAATAAACATCCCCAACACTGAAACTGCAGCCAAAATACGGTGTTGGCTGGTGTCGTGAAGACAGAATTAGCTACGCAGACGCCTGAAAGGTCTTCGAACCATATTTGCTTCATGAATAACGGTATGCCGGGAACATGTCTGCCCTGAGTTTAGAACCAATGCGACAGAACTAATGCGACAAGAATGGAACACGGCCCAGACGGTGTATGCAGACTGTCCTCCGAAAAATGTATAAGCAATATGACTACGGCTTGACGGTTCTGACATTCCATAAGGTGACCAGACGTCCGGTTTTGCTCGAGGCGGTCCACTTTTAGGGGTTGATTTCTTCAGTTCCGCTATCTTGTCTCAATGACCCCCTTCTTCGTAGAAACGTGCATAGCGGAGAACCGAACCGCTTATTTAGCGGTTGGGGTTGATCAAGCAGCGAAAAAAGTGCAGCGTCATAGCATTCATCTTTCTCTGTGTGTGTGCTATCGCCGGCTAGACAAATCAATCGGAGATAATGCCCCGTGACCTTGCGTTTTTAGTATGTGTGTACTCGTATGTTGTGTAGTCTTGACTACTCTCGGACGTGTGGTGAAACGGAGTATGATAAGTTTCCCTATGCGCAATATTCATGCTGAGATCGAACATGAAATATTCAATATTGCTCGTTTTTTTATTTTTTTCTTCACAACGAGATTGCCTACGCCCTTGGCAGAGCCACCCTGGCAACAGAGCGGTTGAGTGCCTCCCTGAAAGGACCATAGAGCACCCCCAAGAAGAGGTTCTGGACGCTCTGACTGATGGCCTTCTCGAACTTCTTCTGCCTCTTGCTGTTCAAGTTCAGGCTCTTGTTCATGTTGATGCGGAAGTTGACACCTGTCACAGTCAGGGTCTTCAGCACGGCTGGGCGGCCTAAAAAATACAGAGCGAACGAACAACGTTGTAATAACATGGTTTGGTAGAAATTCATGTTTTGTTTCGTAAAGAAAGTCCGAAAGAAGCAATATATCTCTGGGGCTCAGCTATTCTAAGCGCTGGTCAATCCTAATAACATTGGCGAAGGACACAAAACATACCCCAAGAAGTGTTGAGCACGTTATTTGGTTAATAAGTACATCAAATACCCTAGCCGTTCAGTTATAAATTGCAATTATATATCGATACATTTTTTAAACACAATAAGGTAAAATGAAGTTCTATTTAACATCGAATCGGAGTAATAACCGAATACATAAATAATATTCGATATCTTGGTACCTTACGGGCCTGACAAATAGCATGATTATCAATAGTTATTTTATGTTGAATTGGGATGAAACAGTTTTAGAATTGATTATTCTTTTTCAGACGTTTGGCCTATGCGGTATTCAACCTAGCGGGTGTCCGTTCTTATGTCCGCTATCTAATCAAATATCAAAGATATTCCGGTTACCAACATTGGATCTAAATCTCCCCTTTGAAGCACACATGTAGGTTTCTGTAAGCTAGGGTTCTTCCGAACGCCTTCTGGGGTGACCTCGTGACTTATCATTTTAATCTGCGCTACACTTGGAATCTGGTGAAGTAAAAGCTAGTGCTCCAGACTCAAAGTTAATGACGGCCAATATCACCTGATCTGATTTCTATGGAAATTTTTGTTATAGCGACGTTAATTCACATATCTATTGTTCGGTATAAGAATTCCAGGTTAGAAGTCGTACCGCACTTTCAAATAGCACACCTTCGGGTACACAGGTCGACTCAATCTGTAGCAGACAAGCAACAAACTGTTCTTAATAACGCTGCTCTCATCTTGTTTACTAACCTGAAAGGGCGCCAGATATGGCTTGTAGGAAGTGATGAATTACGGATAAAAATACTTCAAACTTCACGCCGGTGAATCCTTCCAAAAAGTATCTCTGCTACATTTCTGGAATCAAGCTTTGTTTAAACCTAAGAAAAAACAATATGCTGCAGTATGTAATGTAGTCTTATCGTAATTACCACCGTTGGCTCACATTAAACCAGGGGCATTGGAAATGTTCGGGAAATAGAAGTGTAGAGTTCGGGTCGTCCCAAAGCGGAGAGAGAGGACGAGAAGAATGCGCTTGCAAACTCTAAATATATTTTAATTCCAACAGAAACGGGAGGACCGATGCGTGGTCCCCGCACGTCTGCCGGACGGACAGCATCTGGGATCGACTCGTCGGGGTCCCTTCCTTCTTTCTCTTCCCCGACGATGTCCTCCTTTCCGGTCCTCCTCGCACCGCGTCTCTCCGTCCTGGCGTCTCTCTTTGCTTCTCAAGGGGAGCTAGGCCGGAGGGAGATATGTGATTCCTGATACTGCTTTCGGTTTTCGACTTGTGTCGGCTTCCGTCGACTTCTCTTCTTAGAACCGCCTTGGCAGGTGGCTACGCCGACGTCGTCACACAAGTAACGGGGAGTTTCCCTCCCTCTCCCTTGAATTCTGTGCTAATATCACTATCAACTTAAGAAGTGCTGCAAGAACTGCGAAGAATCGCACTTCTTGTTGTCTCGAGACTAGTTCTTTGACGTTTTTATTATTTGATATGCAAAGGCCACAGTACCACTACCTACAGAACTAGTGAGATTGTCGTCACGCCTCGCGTGTCTTCAGCTAACATATACAACAAGAACGCCTAAAGAGATTGGAGGACCACTTCCAAGCCCCACTGTTTCAATGCGTTAATGCCTCTGGTTCTAATATCAACTATGCCGCCTCGTGTTGTACTAGAATTATGCGTTTTCATCGTGGTCACGAGCCCCGCAGCTTCGCACAAAAGACAGCGCGCACTTACCGCTCCAACCAGTGGCTTCCACGAAAGCGTTGGTCTTCTCAACGACCAGGTCCATGCTGAAGTCCTTCTTGCTGCCGCTCATGTCGTATCCTTTTGCGGATCCGTCGAAAGTGATACGAAGACCGTCCAGAGACATGTAGCAGCCCGTGGTGACGTTGGCCCCCTGCCAGCCAGGGACGCCGCAGTCCCCGCGGCGCCTGAGAGTGCTCGAGAGGCCGTAAAGGGTTCCGGACCTGAATTCCGCCTTGAGGTCGCGGTTGGTGAAACCCGTGGAGTCGACCTTCACGTTGAATGCCGGGACGCCGACGGGGTCCAGGTTGAGGGAACGGACGTTGTTGGGAAGGTGATCTCGGAGGACCGCGTCCATGTACATGTTGGCATCCTGTATGGAACCGGCGAAAGCACCTGAAACGAAGCAAAGGCCATTTTAAGGGACGGAAAAGAGTCCCATGATTTAAAGGGGCAATCAGCTATCAATAAGACATTTTCAAGTACCGGAATAAGACATGTGGGTATCACGAGAATAGTTTCCCTGAAAAATGCATTTTCTCGCAATACTTCCGTCGGGAGGCCCAGTGACTTTAAAGCACGTTCCCCTTTCGGAGGAGGGGGGGGGGGGGGGGCGGGGTGACGTTTTTGTAATGGTTTTAAAATGCGAATCGTTCCTGATTTGGGACAAGTCTGGTAACGTAAATATTGCGATAAAAGTTCGTTTCTGCTGAAGTATTTTACATAACCTAGGCACATAAAAAATGATTTTTGGAGGAAGGTCAGATTGTCTAGGAGCTATTTGAAACATGATTTTAATCTGGGGTCTGCGTCTCACAATAAAATTACATTTCGGAGTTGCTCTAAACTAAATAAGTGTTTCGTTGTACCGGCATATTTCTATTTTTTTATTCTTTTTCTAGGCGGGGGGGCGGGGGGGGGGGGGTATTTGGGACATGGGTGTTCTCTTCGGGCTCATTAAAAAATGCCCTTTGGGAGTTCAGTTCTGTGTCGCTTTGATGGCAAAATCATAACACTTATTGACAACATACAACTTGGACGACGAAACACATAAGCAAAAAGTTAAGACGAAATACAGCGTTTTTCCCAATTCCGGAGTGAACATAACTTGTATTCACTCCTGTGTGCCACAAGGTTATGTCCTTGGATCTCTCATTTTCCTTATCTACATAAACAATCTACCTTCTTGCGTTTTTTCTAACATTCTCTTGTTTGCCGATGACTGCGTGGTTTTTCGCGAAATAACTTGTGATGACGATATAACTAACCTGCAGTCGGACCTTAATGCCATCTCTGAATGGTGCAAAGCATGGTATATGAACCTAAACGTCAATAAATTAAGATATATGCGCGTATCTAGAAAAGCACATATTTTCTAAATCACCGTCCCCTTCATGCCGTCACTTCTTACAAGTAAGTACCTTAGCATTCACATTACAGCCTATCTCACCTGGACCGCTCAAATCTCGTATGTTATTAACAACGCTAACAGAATGCTTGCATACATTCGACGTAACTTCTCAAAAGCCCCTCCGTCCTTAAAACTTTTGCTATATAAGACATTAATCCGTTCAAAACTTGAATAGTCTTCACCTGTGTGGGATCTTTACCAAGAAAATTTTAATAGGTTCACTTGAAATGGTTCAAAATATTTCAGTTCGTTTTATCCTATCTAACTATAACAGAACTGCCAGCATAAGCTCAATGCAATCTAGCCTCAACCTACCAACTCTAGCATCTCGCCGTAAATTATTTCGACTGTGCCTATTTCACAAGTTTTTTCATCACCCATATCTGCGCCATGACTTTATTTTATCTCCCCCGTACATCTCATCCACGTTGGATCATGCTTTTAAGGTTGGAATTCCATTCTGCAAAACTAACGCAGTTTTTCAGTCCTTTTTCCCAAGCACATCAGATGAGTGGAATCGCCTTCCCGCACCTACGGCAACCATGGAAGACCACACTTTTTTCAAGAACGCTTTATCTATCATGCTATGATTAGGAGCCTCCTTTTTGTCTATACCAGTGGTTCTCATGCAGTGATGTTTCACGGACCCCTTGTGAATCGGCGAAAATGGTGGAGGACCCCGTTCGTGTCGAGGGGAAGGGAAAGGTTTATAATGATAATGATATATAATATTTGGATATAACAAAGGGCTGGCGTCAAGTAGACTTTTCCCATTGATGTACAAGCTAGAAAACTCACCCGAAAATTGAAACGTCTCCTCTCAATAGGATAAAATAACACTTTAAAATAACACAATAACACTTGCCCGACTTGACTCACAAGGCAAGGCTTTGCGGACCCCTAGAATGCCTTCGCGGACCCCAAAGGGTCCGGGGACCCCTATTTAAGAACCGCTGGCCTATACTAATAGCTGAAAATGTTGAATTTTCTTATGAAATGTAATCCACTCCCCTCTCTAATGCCTCAAGCCTTGAGGGTAAATAAATAAATAAATATATTGTTTCCCGGAAAAAAATAGTGTACGCATTGCCGAACGCTCTATCCCCACCCATTGTAGCGCTCGCTGTCCAGACCAAATGCAAAGCTGCCATAATTAACTGTTGCCTTATTCAAACGCTATCTGTGTTCTTCTGAAACTTTCAATAGGACATTTGGGCCCTTTCTACGTAGTTTGCGCCATTTAGCCTTATCTATTCTCGAACTTATTTGGCCACCATTTTACCACCAAATAATTTCCGAAATTCACTTATTTCTTTTGAATAAAATAATAGTTCGTTTGAACTCTTCGATACCTGGTTTGGCCCGGTAGCGCTACAATTGGGAGGAAACAACACAATCAACAATGCGTTTCCTCGTTCTTTTTTTCTTTTTTTTTTTTCAAGCTAGAAAACGTTTTAAAATCTTTTCGAGAACATTTCGTAGAATCGCCCACTTACTCCCGACATTGGGCGCCTGCTAGCCCTGCAGTGCTAAGGTCGCTATATGTTTGGCAGACGAGGTCTTTGCCGGTTAATACCTTTCGAGTTAGATTTTTGTCATCAAGATTAACAACCCTAGTACGCTTATAAGCAATTAAATGCAAAGGTGCAAGAAAACTGCACAATAATGACGAAAACGCGTTGGCACTATGCTAAATAATAGAAGTGTAGAAGTGTAGTCAGATCTGCCAGAAATGCTCTTTGTGTTTGGCGGTGATATTTGTTTGAATATACGAGGAACCTTTATTTCTTTAAATTACAACCCAGCGCGTTGCGAAAAGTGCAATTTAATGTGATGTCGTGAATTCCAGGCACGGTTTTTACATGCCTTGGGCTTCCCGCGAGCCGAAATTTACGGCTCTTATGTAGGTAGTGCGAAAGCGGCATTAAATCCATTTGTTCAGATGTATCGTCACATGGAAAAATTTTGATTTTATTTATTTATTTCTGCTCACTCGGATTAGCTGTTTCATTATTTATTGTTTACGTACGAGAAATAATGCATAGACTTATTGATACAAAGATTAGCGTAAAGATATAAAATGACATTTATTGATTGTACATTCTTTTTGCAGTGCCAAGGTCGCTAGGGTTTGTATAACGACTGTCGTGAAAACTTTGATATACCGAAAAGTAAACAACTTCTCTTATAAAATGTGCAGATCGCTTATTATTGGACAATAACACGATTCCAAATTTTTGTACGTGTGCTGAGTAAAACATATTTTCAAATGACATTATCTGCAAACTAACCGATTCTATTTACAGTTGATGGCTGCACCTGGTAGGACAAATAATTAGATCTGCTTCAGAGTGGCACGTAGTGTATGAATGCCTCTGGGGGGGGGGGGGGGGGGGGGGATTGTAGTCAGATTTTCATTGCTTACGAAGTTAAGACTTCAGTAACAGGCTTCGAAAATTAATACACAGTATTAGAAGAAATAAAGGAAATGTGTCCAACTGCCAGAATGTTAGAGCAGTGTGGCATAACATAAATATTTAGGATGTGAATACGCTGTAGAATATTATAGCATATTCTCCACATAAGCAACTAATCCACATATTTGGTATTTGATACCGTGTCTATTTGACAACACTATTTGGAATATTCTGCCCCACGTACATTATTCTGGTTACGCAGAACGCAAAAAAAAGCATTGGAAGGTAAGTTACAGTGGTGAAGAGTCAAATATTCAAACATTTAAATATTATACGTTAAATGAAGTAAAACGTTTGTTATTCGTACAGTATTTGTTGCGTAGTCGAATTAAAGACAGCAGTCCCGTAATTAAAAGAATTAGGTTTATGGCTTTCTGTTATAGCAAATAATTTAATATACACCGGAAGACATTTAATGCAATATTTAGATTACAAAATAATTAGCAGCTATACAATGGCTAAAACACCTAATATCGATACCATGAACAGTGCAAAATGATTTCTTGAAGTTTTAGCGTCACGGGTAAGTGATAAAATTAGGACTGATAGCAGATGTACCCCGACTTTTTGACACCGTTGCTCGTGGAGAACGCTATGTTCCAGGGCACGTAATACAGCCTCCACGTGGAAAGCAGTATCTCGTGGCTACGTCGGCAAGCGAAAGATAACGGTACATATTATTAGTAGTATCCAGTATATTTCTGGAGTATCTGAAAGTCAGTGCAAGGCGGCCTTTCGCAAAACGCATCAAGAAACCCCTTAAACCTTTAATAGCTTGATTGAATCGGAGCAGAACGTCCTCATATCCTCTCTTTACTTCCTGAAAAGTATGGGTATTCCGCGTTGCGCGTTTTTCATAGTGTTGTGAAAAACCTACGAATGTTTCCTGGGGCATAATCAGCACATCAAAGTCGGTGGTGGGCGTCAATCGATATAGACTACTGTCTTTCGCTCATTGTCAGTTGGCCTCTTCACAAATTGACGCAAAGATACGACGGCCAGGTTAGTTGTGATTGCCTCTAGTTGATTGACAACAAAGGGCTGCGACTCATCGGGTGCACTAACTAACAAAATGGGAACGTAACTTGACCAAAACTTCAAGCTTGCTTCCCCCCTGGTGAATAACTAAACGTGGAGTCGCTGGAAAACGAGGGACGGCGACGTCACCCAACAGTCCCTGAAGGATCGCATTTTTTTCCGTTGTGACCTGGGTGAGCATCGGACCGGCGTGTCGTCGAGCGCAACTACGGTGCGATGCCCGTTGAATACCCCAGGCTAGCACTGGTACTGTATCGGGTAAATTTCTCGTCTACAGCGGTTACATCAGAGGCCCAGTATGCTTGACAGTCTTCCCGCGGTTTAAAACAAACACTTAACTTAAACACTTCGTGTCTTATGAGATGCTGCCATGAGAGTGCGCTTGCTATACCTCTATGCCGAATAACACGTGCATGCATAAATTAATTAACCCAAATTGCAAATATACAAAGAGAACTTTAAGTATAATCTGCATGTCATTCGTGACAATAGAATCCATATTATGGTTACGTTCGCTTACTGGATTTTCTATGACAAGCGACTTGTATTCTTTTATAGTACCATATGCCATCGTTGCTAATATAAAAAAAAAAATCCATGTCCGTCACGCTTGAAATTTTGTTTCAATTTAAGATATGACCTCGTTCCTTTTAAGTCTGGTTGACTGCTTAAATATGAAGAGACATTAGATGAGGTGCTTAACCTACCAGAATAATTTGTTAAACGTTGAGATGAAGCCATATGATCAAGCACTGAGCATTCGAGCTCGAGACGAAGTTTTAGGCGGCGTTGTATCGACTTCGACTGAAGCGACTAAAATTTCGTAAAATTAAAAAAAAAAAAAAAAAATTGATCTCTGAAATGAATTGACAGAACATTACTCAAAATACTGACAGTGAGCAGGCGAGCTGGCGGATATTTTCCATGATGACTTTAAACGGATAGAGGCGCCGAGAAACGAAACACTTTTGCTGAGGTAGAGAAAGCAACAGGGGCAGATCATATCTCCCACTCATCTCCAAACAACTCTGCACACGGAATTATTTTTCTTTTAGTTACACGTCAACATTAAACGACCAGAAACCCAAATATGGTCTTGTTATAAGCAAGGACAATTCTTTGGTAAAGACCCCATTGTGATTAATTTCTCGCAAAAATAGTGCAGGAGTATTTTCGTATAAGTAGACATTAATCTCGGGTGTTTGTTTTTAACATATATCTTTCTAGACTGATCACATTTTTGTTCTCCTTGCAGATCTGTTGGGAATGTCGGCTGCAGTGGTCAGTAACTTTGACATCGAGTAAAATAAAACACCACTAAAAAAAGAAAAAAGAAATGCGCCAAGACGGCTCTCCTGAAAGGAGGTTTCTACTTACCGGCAATAACCAGGCACACGCAGAAGAGGGACGAGATGGCCATCTTGACGGTTTGGCAAGAGCTGAAAACGAGCATATCTTTAAATACATGTTTCCGAACTCTATTATTCAAGGTATACAGCTTACATTCGTGTTACCTTACTGCGCTCCCAGATCCACCCCAGTAATTATTTGAAGAAATTATCTAGGTTTAAAAGCATTCAACATGGTATTTACTGACGAGAAACGATCAGCGAAGCATAATGAGGTTTAGCGTTTGTGCCTTATAAGGGGCAAATATGTTTCGTTGCGCTCCCGGAATAAGTTATTTAATCCTACACACTAAGTGAATATTTCTCTACGTATACCAACCCAAGAAGTCCCTAACCGTCCATGCTCATTACTGTTGGAGAAAAGCTTTCGTGTTGTATCTAAGCAACTTTGATCAGACTAAGTCATAATAAGAGATAATATGTAGTTTCTTGTGTTTTCAATTCAAACCGGAATATTTAGTGTTTAAAAGCAGACACTATTTTCGAACGCTTATTTTCCCCAATTAATCAGTAGCACCCGGAGAAGCAACGCTAGCTCGAACAAAACACTGGTGCTAAGGCGCATTTCGTTTACACGAGAAATTTACGAACTTCAAATTTTGCTACCTAATGAAGTCGCTATGCTCGATGAATACATTTTAGAAAAATGCTACTATTAATGTTATTCGTCCAGCGTCTTCTCGCGAAATAAAAATATAAAAATAAGAAAACCTGTTGATCACTTGTTTACGAAAACCGTGTCGAGCTCTTTACGTGCGAACCTAAATTAAACAGTGTTTTACTTCCTGCCGCATTCTAACCACAGCCTAAGCTAGGATCCGATGTAGCCAATCAAGCAGCGGCAACAATACATCGCGGTGAAGCTCCTTGTTTTCGCGAGCTCAAAGAAACGATGAGCGCATTGACGATGACCTTTCGACGGCGAATTAGGACGGACGCACGTAACAAAACTTCCCCATGCATCGTTACACCGGGCGTCTTACCAGAGACGTTCAAACCCGCTGCAAGTTTCAGTGTTTCGTAGGTTTCTCGGCGTAGTTTATATGTAAGGTGCTATCAGCGCCGAGTGCAGTCGCGGCTTCAAAGTTCTCTGTGATCCAGACAATGTGCAATGTGATTAAGAAAAAAACCCATAAATTCGTCGTGTGCGTAGGACTCATCGGCTAATCTTAGTTACGATAACGCGCCGCAATAGTCTGGAGCACTTCCAGATAAGCCGCTTTCTGTACGGGCATATCTTCTCGCCCGTCACACATACGGGATATTTGCGTTCAGAGACAGACACGACAAAAAACAAAAGAATGAACTTTCCCCCCCGAGTTTCCGTATTGCATAGCTTCGAGCCAATATAATGCATTTGCCTAATTGCCACCGTTGCGGCGTCATCAGACTCTGAGTCAGAAAGAACAAAATTATGGTAATACGAACGCGTACGACCACCTGGAGGCCGATAATTCAAACGTAAATGATGCCCGATATTTTTTTTCTCCAAAGGTTTACATAAGTCAATGTGTGCGTGAAGCTTGAATATTATTGCGAATAATTAGTCCAAAAAAGGGCGCGCTGTGCGCGGTAATAAATTCCTTGTTTATTAAGGCGAAAACCTTGTATGTCTCATCGTTCAGTCGACCTTCAAAGTCCTTGAGCGAAAACGCGTCGGCTACATGAAAGGTACCATAACGTTTGAGTGACAACTCAGGCGAATAAGAGTCAATGAAATTAGGAAGGATGATAAAACAATTTAATAGGAATCAAATTGAATTAAGAAGAATCAAATTGAATTAAGAGGATTTAAAGAGAAGAAACAGTAATCAATGGGAATTAAGAAGGACGACAAAGTTGATTCAGAGGATTGAGATTGAATTCAGAGGAATTAAAGCGAAATATGTGGATGACTTAGTGAATTACCATGAGGACTCAGCACATTGAGAAGGATGGCTCAGAACAATGAGAAGGATGACTCAGCACATTATGAAGATTGACTAAACACATTGAGGGGGTTGACTCAGCAGTTTAAGCTGACTAATGAAGGTGGCTAATTAGTGTGGCTAATTAGCACGGATGACAAAGCGATTTAAGAAGGTCTTGGCGCTTTCGCCTTCAAGTCGTCTTAGGGATAACCTATGAGACCCTGAGAATTTTTCTTTGGCACAAAATACGCTGCACCTTTGTGTAAATGTATTTATTTATTTATTGAGATAACTGCATTGACCGAAGCCAATATTGTAAGGATGTTACATATTATGAATGGGGATTATTTATTTAGTTATTTACAATACTGTGCGCCTGTCGGTCTACGCAGGGGAGGACAAAAAACACATAATACATACATCATCACGAACTCTACACGGGTAAAGCTTGCGCAGGCAATTCGAAGTGCCTGCGCATACGTTTTACATGCAGCACTTAATTTAACAAAAAATCAGTTAATTGGACTCAGAACAGCTCAGGGCTGCAAAAACTGATAAGTTCTTCTGGCAGAGCGTTCCAACCAATAATTGTTCTGCAAAATAAAATAGTATTTTAAGACATCATTATTGTATTGATACGGTGCAATCGCTTTGTTGTTGCTCGTTCTATGTAAATGGGTTGTCGAACGCAACAGATATTTTTTTTCAGAATCAGCTCTTGTCAGCCCGCTTACCATAACGAATAATTATTTCAACCTACAAATATTTATTCTGTTCTCCAGGCTCTTCAACTTCGCCTCAGATCTCATTGCAGTAACACACGACGTATGCCTATATTCCGAAAAAAATAAATCGTAGGACAAGGCTCTCAATTCCTTCTATTTGTGTGACCTGTTTTTTTTTTCCTGCAGAGGTTCCATACACAACCAAAAAAAAGCGCAAAAATTAGATGAAGTACGAGTGAGTGGTATGTACACGGCAAGCGCTTGTAGTTTACATTCCCCTCATTCGTCCTTCCTCTAATTTGTGCGCTTTTTTAGTTTTAATGCATCACGAACTCGCCTAAGTTACCACTTTTATGCAGGTCCCATAAACAACTTGAGTATTCCAATATCGGACGCACATGCGGTTAATATAACATCTTTATTTGCATATCTCAGGTGCCGTCTAAGAAGCGGTAGTTTTTTATACGCCCTTGAACATATATATACTCCACTTGTCTATTGCAGTGTAGCGTATTACTAAAATTCACACCTAAATACTTATATTCATCTACTTCTGCAAGTTTTGTGCTCCCTGTAGAATAACGAAAATCTAATACTTTCACGCTACTGGTAATACTACACAGCACCGTCTCATTAATATTAATAGCCATGCCCAATGTAGTACATTATAAGCTGATTGACCTCAAAGACGCATTTGGTAACCCTTGATTGCGAACTGTAGTAATTTTAGAAAAGAGCATACAATCATCCGCGAAAAGTTTACCATGTACAGAAGAAAGCAGACTCGCAGCTATGTCATTAGTACAAACAAAAATGAGAGAGGTCCTCAAACCGAGCATTGGGGTAACCCTCAATAGACTGCCAATGGAAGAGAGAACACACTGCAATAACTGACATACTGTGTTCGGTAACTTAAACGTGAACGTATCCATATTAAAAAACTCCGATTCAGTCTTAATTTACAGTTTCCATGAAATTTGTAACGCGGAATATGGCCAAGGGCCTTTGAAATATCCATGCATACTGCATCAACTTGACCATGTTCATATATAACAGACGCGAACTCATGCGTACATTCAAATAGCTGTGTGACCGTTGGTAGACCCTGCCTAAACCCGTGCTGATGCTTGAATAGTAAGTAATTGTTTTCCAAGTCATGAACATTATGTTTTGATATGATATGTTTTAAAAGGTTATAACATATCGCTGTTAACGATATAGGACGATAATTTTCCGTTGCCATCTTGTTCGCAGACTTGTGAATTTGGCACTGCTTTCACACGTAACCTATCTGCCGGTAACCTGCCCTGCCAAAGAAAAGCTTGAAAATTTTCAAATAAGTACCTTGAGACCCACTGTGCCTGTCTTCTTAGAAACGTATTTGTAATATCGTATGGGTCATATGCCTTTTTATCGTTTGTGTTCAAAAGCAATTTAGAGATACAGTTCTCCGACAGAACGAGCTCCGGCATTTCTGACTGATAAGAAACATAGGCAGGGCATTTCGGTGGGTCGCGTGACACAGTAAACGCGAACTGAAAGTATTTTGTAAATTCAGCTGAAATTCGAAGTCGACAAAAAATAGCTTCATTATTAACTGTAACTTGCGAAGTCTCCTTAGCTATCAAAAGAAGCGCCAAAAGCCTTGTGGGGATTCCTTCAAGAACCGCGAGGCCTAAATCAGCTATCTCCATAGAAGTTTCCATTTGTTTTTTTTTTTATTTCGGCAGTTTGTTTTTTGTTTGAACTGTAGGATTTCCATAGTAATTCAAGAACGGCCCCTCTTTGCTCACACGTTTCTTGATGGGAAAGAATAATATACACAGTGAAATACTATAGCCTTAAATTTTGCAACTAGCATTCTGACACCAGAGAGTTGACTCTAATCATCAAAATGCCATTCTAAGTAGTCGAAAACAGACACATAATCCGAGTTTTTAAAATCTCGAACCAAATTTTCCGGACGAGCGTTTTAAGATGGCGATTTAGAAAGTTGAATGGTGAATAATAGCATTTAGTGCTCAGATATCCAGTCAATTACAACGACCTCATCAGCTTCGATCACATTACTAAAAAAATGCAGATGCAATGTTGCTTGGCCTGTGTCTGATACTCTAGTTGGGGCGTTCACTAGCTGTCGCATATTAAAACAATGATAGATATTTAACAGAAGCCCAGAGGATGCGACTTCAGTTTTACCTACCTTACCGGATGTCCAATCAAAAATAGGCAGGTTGAGGTCTTCCGTTAAAATAACCCTACTTTCAGCTGATAAGTGCAGTTCCACAAACAACATAAACAAAGAGTATAAACAACCTACACTAAAGAAATAAAGTCACAAAATTCATGACTGCGGATCTAGCAAGCCCATTGCACAACTGAAAACAACGTGAGGCCATTGAAAATTTCAAATTTCAGATGATTACATTCGCGGACTATAAAAGTAAAATAAAAAAAAAATAAAAAATCGGGTATAGCATCGGTGCGGCAGCTGAGCTCACGTGCATGTTTCGCGATCGTTTCGTGGCCGAATGAAATATCAAACCTTCATAAATATAGTTTTATTATTGCCCGTTTGTCTGTTTCATAAATGTATGAGTTGTGGGGAAATATGGTTTCGATACCGAATTTTTTGACACTCGACAGCACATCTTTAATAACCGTTAGTGTATCTCTATATTACGGATGATTTCTGGGGACACACGTGACCAGAGTTGGGGCTATCGTAAATACATTACTTAAGATGCTGTATTTCAATTACCTTTTGTGGTAATTTCATATCTTGCGAAAAAAAACTGATCGAAAGTATTTCCTACATTTTCTTAATTACATTTTTTAGCATCTTTTACTGATTAGCTCAAATACACCTTTAAGCCTAAAAACAAAATTTTCTCTGCAATATTTTACGGGAATAAGAAACGAGAGATACGAGCGCAAAGACTAATCAATTACAAACATGACGCAGAAGCGCCCGAACACAGAACAAGGGAGTAGTCAGAACCAGAATGAAGAGTCAAAATGCAAAAGCAAAAAAATTTATAGAAGGAAATTGAGATGATCCCAAAAAGGCAAGAGGTGTTTTGCTTTGATTTTGTATGTTTTACCATCACCAGGACAACAATGTAAGCTTTTTTCCCCAATCTGGTACTTCCGGGAGTGCTGTTTTTGCCACAGACAGCTGGTGGGGGACAGTGATAGACCAACTGTTTTATCAGGACAGATAATTTTACAAATACCGCAGAAAACAGAATAAGAGTGGGATGAGCTCTTAAAATGCAAATAAAACAAAACAAAAACTTTACAAAGTTGTGCGTTTGCCTGAACATGCTTCTGGAGTTGAAAAATGAGGAAAAATAGAGAAATCGACAACCGCGAGAAACAGAGCGCTGCAGTGCTTCTGTATCCCATTGAAAACTTTTCTGTCTTGTAAGGCTTAGTCCTATCTGAATGCAACATTTTGGTAGCCTACT